TTTCCCAAGGTCAGTTGTGAATTTCGCTGTTTGTTAATTTTTTCTTAGACGAACTCTGATGCCCAGGGATACTTGAAATCAAACAGCAGAATAGTCAGCTGTGTAGATTCACTGCTGGGTCAGACAGCACTGCAGGTTTATTTCTCCATTTGATTCACTGCCCATGTGGTCACTACCTTTGTCTGTCTTCCTTCTTTTTAAAGTGCCATTGGTTTGTTTTTTCTAACCGAAGTTCCAAAGCAACGCAACAGCTTATAAAACATTAATTACTGCTCTTAGAATTTGAGGAAATCATCTCCAATACTAAAAATACCTCAAAAAAGGAGCAGCTCTTACAGCCACAACTTTTTCCTGTCCTCCACCTTGAATTACCCAGAATCCTTTTTGCAGTAATTGCCTCAACCATTTGGCCAATTTGTAATTTGCAGAACCAGTCATATATAAGATAGGGCGTAAAAGGACATCACTTTTGAGCGTCTTGGGAAGCCATACATACATGAATACAGTGAACATTAGGATGAATCCCATCATTTACTGCATCTTCAGCAGTACTCAAGTTCTGTGCTACCAAACAACAATCAATTGTATTTAAAATAGAAAAGGACTAGTAATGTAGACACTACTCAGTTTCACAAACAAATGCAGCTCATATTGGTTATTTAGGTGTGAGACAGTTGGTGAGAAATGAGAAACTTCTGGCCCTCCACATCTTCTGAGCATTACTGTGTTGTTGTTTTTAGCAGCAAGGTGTTTAAAATTATCATAACTGCACATATTTTCTCTTCCAAAGCTAACTAAAACTTCTTCCAGTATGAAAAATTCCATTTCTGGTTTGCACAAAGGTTGACTTAATTTCTAATCTGTCCAGTCACTAACATGAACATACTAAAGCATTAGAAGCTTAGCATTTCCTGCATTCTATCTTTTTTCTCACTTTCCTCTGTTGAAGGTAGTGACTCATGCTTGTGTCATGGTCAGAACAGGCAAGAGGATATTGCATGTTTTAATTGAAAACAAAAGTTGGCTGACAGCACGTCAGGTGATTCTGGCAATATCAACTCCAGACAACACCTGAAACTCAAAACAAAATGCACATTAAAACTTTTAAGCCCTTTTGTTGAGGATGAACTGTAAACAAGTTAAGACTTTTATAAATCAGCCAACTTGTTCTCCTGGGCCAGAGACTCTTCAAAACTCAGTGTCCTTTCATTAAAGAACATCAAAGGATTATTTGTATTGGCTGAGAAGAAGACCCTGGCTGTGTCTCAAAGGATGAAAGACCATCATAAAGAATGTGCATTGGCCCAACACATGATCTGTTTTGGAAGAAGGGTTTTGGACTTGTAAGAGGATCACATTATTAAGCCAGCCTGTTTGTGACCTGCCTTTAACAATAATGGCAGAGTATCCTACAAATACAACCTTAAGGTGATACAAAGAGCAGAAAGAAAGCTGACAACATTGTTAAGCGACAGGAAGCAGCTGACTGCTTAATGGTGGTGCTGCAGAATGTAAAATAAGGTCCCCTATACAGTAAAAAATCTATTCTGTTTTGAATTTGATTACTTTTCTTTGCAATATCACTTTCCTTCTTTCCAACAACCACCCAATCTTCCTTCCACTCCCCTGCAGCATTCTGATTCCCCACCCACTCCCTGGCCTTCCTGACACTCCCAGATAACAAGGAGACCTCCTACACTGTTCATTCCCTCACCCAGTGACAGTCTTTGTCCCACTTTTGCCAAGACCCTAACCCCAGTCTCACTTCCCCAGCCCCTCATCAGCAATGCATGTGCATGGAATATGGTGACATTATCAGCACATGTGCAGCCATTTCCTGTGACCTGTATCACCACAGCCAGTTGACAAATTATGGATATTCACTCTGAAAAGCAAAACATCACAAGAAATCTCAGCTGAAAGACCAGCTGAAAAGTAAAAAAAAACAATCTCTACCAATCAGTTCCATCAACAAATTCACCTGACGGCTGACCTCCTGAGAATTCAACTACAAGAAATCTCACAGCTTATTGAAAAAGCTTCAGTTTTATCAAACCTGCACTCCAGCTGAAGAATCAATTGAGCTTAAAGAAAAACTACAGGGTGGATGCAAAAGAGGCTGAACTCATTATAACATATGATTGTAATCTTCCTTTTCATTTGAACAAGATCTTTGTGTATGTGATAATTTGTGTGAGATGTCTCATTTTAAAAAGAAACTTCTAGGACAAAAGAAGGTTATCTAGGATTACAAAGAGATCTTGATCAATGGAGTCAATGGGCTGAGGAGTGGCAGAGGGAGTTTAATTTGGATAAATGCAAGGTATTGCATGTTTGTAAAACAAACAAGGGCAAGACTTATACAGTTAATACTAGGGCCCTGGGTAGTGTTGTAGAACAGAGAGACCTAGGGGTCCAGGTACATAATTCTTTGAAATATACGTCACAGGTAGACAGGGTAGTTAAGAAGGCATTTAGCATGCTTGCTTTCATTGTGCAGACCTTTGAGTATGGGAGTTGGGACATTATGTTGAAGTTGTAAAGGACATTGGTGAGGCCTCTACTGTAGTACTGTGTCCAGTTCTGGTAGCCCTGTTATAGGAAGGAGATTGTTTAACTGGAAAGAGTTCAGAAAATATTTACCAGGATATTACTGAGAATGGAGGTTTTGTGTTATAAAAATAGGTTTGATAGGCTGGGATATTTTCCGCTGGAGCATAGGAGGTTGAGGGGTGACCTTATAGAGGTTTTTAAAATCATGATGGGCATAGATAAGGTGAATAGCAAAAGTCTTTACCATAAGGTGGGGGATTTCAAAATTAGAGGGTATATTTTTAAAGTGAGAGAAGAAAGATTTAAAAAGAATATGAGAAGCAACTGTTTTACAGAGAGTGTCTAGTGCGTGGAATGAACTGCCAGAGGAAGTGATAGATGCAGGTGCAGTTACAACATTTAAAAGACATTTAGATAAGTACATGAATTGGAAAGGTTTGGAGACATATGGGCCAAACGCATGCAAGTGGGACTAAGTCGGCATAGACTGCTTGGACCGAAGGGTCTGTTTCATGCTATATGACTCTATACTTTGATGATATGTGTGTGATAATAAATAATCTGCTTTATTTTTAAATTCACAAGCCCATTGAAATGTTTTCAGTTGGGACAAATCACCATGATGGTAAGAAAATACACACACTTCACACATAAATACTTAATGATCATGGACAATAATGAAGCAAATAATTTCTGTGCATGACATCAGGTTTAGCTCTGTGGATACTGGTAAATCTCTGGTGCAATAGCTCAATGGTTGTAATTATCCTGAACTGTATATCATAGTGCAATCCAATCTTCATCCAATATCTGTGTCTTTTCACTGGTGCCAATGGATAGTGATTAGGAAATGAAACCTTGATGGTTTTACTTTGTCCTTATCCAGAGATCAACAGTAGCATCCCACTTTGATCTAGTGGAGATCAATTAGCTCAGTTTAAAATAAAGATGGTATTTTTCATTGTATTTAAGCCAGAATTGCTAATATGGAATTGTGATTAGTGTGCTGTCCCCATCTGATGTCCAAATATGACATTTATACATATAAGGTATGCAGGAATGCTCAAATGAACGAGTTATCGTCTTGACTGAAATCAGTGTCATAGTTTTGTAGTTCATGCTCTACCCCTTCTGATTTTTTTATCCAGTGGGAAAAAGCAACTTGGATATATTCTGTTTGTGTCCCTGATTCCAATTGTTTTCCCTTGGTGTGTAGGGTGAGGGGCATTGATGGTGGAGTATGTATCCTCTCCCATTTGTTCCTGTTAAAGACTTGCAAATTAAGGAAACTCAGGTTTCTCATCACTTGCACTCTACAAATGATGAATGCTGGGGCTGCCTATTATTATGTGATCAACGAGGGGACCCTAAAGTTGATTTTGCAGTGTCTGTTCACAGGGCCCACTTGTGTGACTTAAAAGAAAAATTTCCCTAAATCAGGCATCATTTTAATGCTGTGGAAGGACCCAGAGTCTGCCATTTCTTTTCATTTGTGGGATGTGGGCATTGCTGGCTAGGCCAGCATTTCTTGCCCATCCCTAGTTCCCCTTGAGAAGGTGGTGCTGAGCTGCTTTCTTGAACTGCTGCAGACAACTTGCTGTAGGTTGGCCCACAATACCATTAAGGAGGGAATTCCAGGATTTTGACCCAGCGACAGTGAAGGAACAGTGATAAATTTCCAAGTCAGGATAGTGAGTGGCTTGGAGGGAACTTGGAAGTGGTGGTGTTCCTATTGCCATAGGGGGAGGCGATGGCCTAGTGGAATGTTAATCCAGAGACCCAGATAATGTTCTGGGGACCTGGGTTCAAATTCTGCCACAGCAGATGGTGGAATTTGAATTTAATAAATATCTGGAATTAAGAATCTAATGATGACCGTGAATCCATTGTCGATTGTTGGAAAAACCCATCTGGTTCACTAATGTCCTTCAGGGAGGGAAACTGCCATCCTTACCTGGTCTGGCCTACTTGTGACTCCAGACCCACAGCAATGTGGTTGACTCTTAATTGCCCTCTGGGCAATTAGGGATATGCAATAAATGCTGCCTAGCCAGCGATACTCTCATCCTGTGAATGAATAAGAAAAAAAATATATAGATCCCCAACATTGATTCAATCCTGAGAATACACCAGGGAGCATGGCTCTGGTATATGAATGGCACTGCCCCAAAGACCAGCAATGGACTCCAGGGTGAACCAAAGTTCATAGCTGTGCCTAAATAGGGTGGCATGGCAGCAAGAATAGACCCACATATCTCTGGATTGCATCATGTGGCTGGACTATCAGTGACTGTTTTGTACCCTCTAGTATAACAAGTCACTCAGACATTATTTCTGAAATCAAATTTAATAAAACAGAGATCCTGAGAGGATTTTGAAGCAATACCTAACTTGCTTCTCCCTCCATTCCAATATAGACTGAAGCAAAAATGAATAAAATTATAATATATTCTTAAATAATCACTTGTGACTTTTATTTGAAATAGATGAAAACAGTGAACATCCGCAATCTAATTTACAGCATAATTAATGAAACAGATTGAGTGAAAAAATTGATGTACAGGAAAGTTTCAAATTGCAGTTGATTTTTACATATGATTGACTTCTGACACCTGATACTTTTCCATGTGACTCACATTGGCAAATCTGCCTTTCTAACTTCAAGAGAATTTCAAGGTTGGATTAAGATTATTACAAATCCTTAAGGATTGGCTTTATATTGATATTTCTGGTCAGATGAATACTGAATATTCAGCAGGATCCAGGTTCTTCCTCATTCTGTAAAACTGTTCATATTATGATTATGTTTCTCAGAGAGATTGTTCCTATGGAATGTTTGGTGTCCAGATATATTAACTGGCAGTGTAACTATGCAAAAATTTGAGAATTTTAAAATCATAAATAGCACAGAATAAGGTCATTTGACCTCCCATGCCTGGGTCAGCTCTTTGAAAGACATATCTACTAAGTCCCTCTCCCTTATTCTTTCCCCTTTGCCCTGTAATTTTCTCAAGTGGTTATCCGATTCCCTTATCGAATTGCATTGAATTCCATCACCCCTTTATTCAGGGCATTCCATAGTAAGGCTCACTGAGCAAATCTCAGCATGCATAACTATTAAAAAACTGGATGCATTTGTCTGATTGGAAATTCAGTTGTTAAGGACATTTTATGCTAATCAATATTTGCAATTTTTAAAAATTGTTAGCAGATCTAGTTTATAACAAGAAAAAGATATTGTTTTGAAAATAGTGCTGCTGTACAATGCCTGAAATATAAGTACAAACAATAGAATAAATAATTACATAATCATAAGGTTCCACTGCTGTCTGCAGCTGGGCAGTAGAATTCTGATGGGAATGTTATGATTAGTTTTTAAAAATTAGTTCTGTCAGAACCTGTGGAGGTCCAACTGGAGCAAAGGCTGGGAACTTTGTAGTGAGTAACTAACCTCCAGAGTATCCAGAGTCTTTCCATCATCTACAAGGTACAAGGCAGGAGGGTGACAGAATATCTCTACTTGTCTGGATGAGTGTGGCTACAACGACGTTTAGCAAGATTGACACCATCCAGCACAAAAGACTTGACTGGCACCCCAAAAGCTACTTTAAGCATTCATTCCTCACATTGTGCACAGACACTGCAGTGTGTACCATCAATGAGGTGCAGCTCTTCCACCTTGAACAGGGGCAGAATAAAGACACATGGAGCAACGCCTCCTGCATGCACTCCTTACAACATTGTGAATTTGAATGATATCACCGTTCCTTCACAGTCACTATGTGAAAAATTCGAAACTCTCTTTCTAACAGCTGTTTATGTATCTACGTCACATGAACTGGAACAGTTCAAGAAGGTAGCTCATCACCAAAAAAAAATTAAGGATGGGCCACAAATCCTGCCCTCATTGGATGCTCACATCCAATGAATGTGCATAAAAGAAAATTTGAATGTTATTTGAAACCACAAGTTGAAGAACTGTACATCAGACTGACTAAGCCTTTTCAATCAAGACTTTAATTTTCACTTATTTTAGTTTTGCAGTTATTAATTGTGATGGAGTTCAAGATGCCTGATAGTGCAATTACTTATTGTGCAAATATCTTACAATAGTTATTATCTGGGTGCAGCAAGCTAAAGTGGAAATCACTGAGTGTATGAGAAGACTTGATCATTTTATATAACTATATTTGTTAAAGATGGGTGGTAGGGAACGACAATAGTGAGCATTTACCCTATTGACCTTTGGTATTGGCACAGGTTCAAAGAATTATGATGGCCTAACCAAAGATTCACTTGATTTTATGCTATACTTTAACAAACAAACCTGAAGATTTGGAAAGAAATGTGCTCTTTTTATGAATGCATGTACGTTCATTTGGCACATTTAGTTAAATGAATACTGGCAACTTTCTAATCACACATGTAAATCATTTTGTTTACATTGGAGTCCATAGAGTGAATGCTGTTAGGTCAACTGCCTTAGGATGCATCACAACAGCATCTGCCACTAGCCAATATATATATGCACAGAATTCACAGCAAATTTTGTCAACAGCTATCAGCACTGGGAATGTTGCCTGATCTTATCCTATCTTTCTGGGGGCTTTCATCATACTTTGAATATAGTCCTAACTGAGATCAGTTAACCTAGCCCATGGTTTTGAAAATTGAGATCTGTATGGATAAGTACCTCACAGGATGATGAGTTAACCTAGGGAAAGATTGGAAATTCTTCGGAACTACTTCTTAATAGGTTATTGCATGGTAGTTACATTTCATCATTCACAATACATCCAGTCAATTGCTGTTTCATAGAATATAAGTGTCTGAATAAAGCTTTAGGCAGTTTAATCAAATTCACTCTGCCTGTGATATATTATATAACTTGACATTGTATAACTATAAGTTCTGTTGTTCTTGTGCAAGAGAAAATGGCAGTCTATTATTTGGCGTATAAGCTGCATTCATCAATGGACACTTGTATTGGTTTCATTTTCTTATTCAACACCCTTCTTCCAGTAGAATCTGTAGCCCCCCTACTGCTTGAAACACTGAGTTAGGAGTAGCAAATGCAAAATACTGGCAGCAAAGCCAGTCTTCCAGTTTTACTGGCTTCTCATCATTTAGAAACCTTTCCCCATAATTCAGCATCAGCAAAATGCGTTTCATGTCCAACCAGTTTTTCAGCAACTGAGGTGGATCTTTGAATCCAGTGTTCAGACTGAACACATTCTGGTCTGGGCCCCAAAGTAAGGCCTGTAAGATGTGTTTTGCTTGACTGATATGTATTCTTTTATTAGGATCTGCACATAAGAGTAAGTGGGCAAGATGTTGAAGCCTTTCAGAATAAATAGATAACAGGCGAATCTGAGGCAGGTCTCCTGTACTGTATTCTTCATAATGCTTTTGGCTTGAAATGCTCTCAATAGGATTTGACATGTGTAGCACCTCATAGATCAAAATGCCCAATTGAAACTCATCAACCTTCTTGTACTGGGATGCAGACATCATTTCAGGTGCTAATCGGACCTGATCTGGGTGTAGTTTTTGATCAATTGCTGTACTCTTTTGTTTAGCTTTAGAGAAGTTGCTGATAATAAGTCTCGGCAGCTGAGGATTAGTACTTTGTTCTTTGCATCTTGGCTCAGCCACCTTAACCAGCAGGAGGTTTTCCAGACGGAGGTCACAATGTGTAACGTTATGATTTTTCAAGTGTTCCAATCCTAGACACAACTGCAGAAGGAGAAGACATATTTGACGTTCATAGACATCTGCCTGGGACTCATGGAGAGCCACTGAATCTTTTACAAAATCTGCCATGGTTTGATAGGGAACCTCCTGTGTAATGATCACAGCTTGAGGCCTTTGTGTTATATTATTGTCTGGTTGGGTTTCAGAGGTTTCTGCCTCAGCATCTGGCTCAGACTTGTTCTTTTCCACTTCCAAATCACCAGAGCTCAAGGCCGCATCTCCAGAAAGCAAAAGTTTTGTTGGAATCATGGCAACAAAATGGCCACACACCATTTGTACATTGAAATGGAAAGGGAGGCTTTCCTGTACGGAGAGGCCACAAGGCTGCATCTGCAGGGCTTCTTGGTTCAGAGTTTTGATGATCTGCATTTGGTAAAAGTAAAAAGAGATGTGTAATTAAAAAAGTATATCTTTTATAATGTTATTGCTTACGTTACTCTCAGTATAAAATTAAATTTATTTCTATGGGCCCACGAAGACAAAGATATCACTGAGGTAAGAAATGCCACTTCGGAATAATGACCAAAACTAAATAGATAAGTAAAATGTGAATGTAATACACTTAGCTGTTGCTGTAAGATTAAAGACATGACAGTAAAACCGTCTTTTCATTTTGATCAATAATAAAACTTGAAACTAATGACTGAATTAACTAATTTAATTCCAGCTCTTTGTAACTTTTTGGGGTGAAGGCTGTGAAACCTGCATAGCTATAATTGCAGACAATTGAATTCCTTGTTACAGATATTGACAGAGAAACTGGGTGGTGCACAGTATGCCTGTGAACTTATTGCCCAGAAGGAAAAAATAGAGTGAAAACAAACACTAATGCATGGAATGCTGGAGCATTATTCTGAGGTACAGAAAACAAGTTGGACTACTAAGTGTCATTTGCAAGTTTTACTTATTTTTCCTTCTGAGTGTTATAATTTTATGGAGAGGACTGGTTCTCGGTCACAGGCTGAAGAGCCAGTTAGAAACCCTCTGGCCACCAGTATTGGCCACCAGGTACGTGGTGACTGCTGCTAGGATGACACCCACTGGACACCTAGGTTTGCAAAATGACCCAGGCCAGAGGTAAGTGGTAGTGGGGGTCTTTTCAGAAGAGTAGAGTGGAAGACACTGGGGAGGACAATGTAATGGATTGGCATCATGGGCAGAGGATCACTTGTAGTAGCAGACAGAAAGAAAATGCATTGATAGCAGTGAAGTCTGGAAGGCTCTCCGTCTCTTTCTCTCGCTGTTTCCTTCGCATCATCCTGAAAGTCAGCACCAATCATAAAACAAATCAGAGAATATCATTCACTGAGAACTCAAAGTTTCAGCAAGTCTCACTACGGCTGAAGATATCAACTAAACATCCATGGTCCTGGGTTCAATTGTAACAACTCAAGACCTCAAGAACTTTTAAAGATGCATATTTTTATCTTTTATTTTACAAGACATGCCCTTTTTTTAAAATTTGTGTTTTAAAATTGTCTTTGTTTGTTTTTGATGTCACATTTTAATTTTTTTGAGGTGAGCAAGTAATAAAATTCTACTTTCTTCCACACATGTAACATTGTCATTGGCTCCTAAACTTTGACTAGAATTACATTTTAATTGACATATAGCTGCACGCTAAAAAGAATTAAAAATCTTTCTTGTGGACAGCTGAGTGGGTTTGAAAGAAGGGAAGCCAATTCTTCATCTGGTTGTAACAAAGCCAGCAGCTCAACTGAGGGGAAAAAATGGTTCTTTCGAAAACGTCTAAAAATAAACCTGAGAAAAAATGTTTTCTTGGGTCTGTATCATAAAAGTTCTAAAAATTTAATTGTGTGATATAGCAATGTGCTAAAAGGAATTAAAAATCTTCACTGCAGCCAGTTGAGGGAGTTTAAAATGAAGGAAGCTGATTTCCTCCTCCTCTTCTAGCTGTAGGTCATCACAAGGTTCCTGTTTTTGGATGCCTTGGGAGGCAACTGAACTTGTTGAACTTCTTGATAGCAGTTCAATGCATCTAGTTGGTTTTGTTGGCTGTTTCAAGGGCTTGTTCACTCTCAACCATGATGGTGTGGAACCAGAGCTACATTCAGGTCAGACCAGCTAAAGACAATAGGTTTAACTTTCTAAAGTGCATTGGCTTTGGCAACCAACTTTTTACTTTTAATTTTTGAAAACTGGATTGAAATTCTAAAATGGACATGGTGGCATTTGGACTCATATTCACTGAATACTAACCTTACAAGGTCACCACTACAATTACATCCCTCACAAGCATTGGATATATGTCCCGCTCAACTATTCAAACCATTCAGTATAAAACATGTTACTTTGTAGATATTTATGACTGACAAGTGAGTCAGACATTATTGGGGTAGCTGGGAAAGTGGAATTGAGACAACAATCAGTTCAGTATTGGTCTTGTTGAATGCCAGAGCAGACTTGAGGGGTTGAATGGCCTACTGTTGTTTCTAATTCATAAGTTTGTTTGTCGAGAAAAGTAAAGCTGCAAACCGATTGCATCACAATTAAATAAAAGTTACTTTCTTCAAATGATTAATTAACAGACACAATGTATTAATAATCTTAAGATAAAATGCTCAGAACTGGGTTACCAATTGATAGCTTTACCAAAATTTTAATAAAATGATCAAATATATCTATACCAATAAATAAGAAATTTTATTTGTTGGTGACTTGATAGTTACTGTTACTGAAGAAAAACTTTCACATAACATTTTTACATAAACTAAATTATTTCTCTGTTTTTACAGAATATTTTAGAATTTCAGTATAGGGGGTACGTTTTCCGAAGTAGACTTGTTTTAAGTGTACGTTTTATATGTAAGTATAGATGCAAGATTCTTAAACGTTTGACTTCTGATACTCTTTGTTGTTCCAGTATTGAGAGTCTTTTACATTCTTCATGCAAGCACATGATTTGGATCAACATTTCTGCAATTTCCTCATGCTGATTACAAAATTAAATTCTTATAGCCAGAAAATATTGTGTAATTTTCAAATACTAAATCTGTATTACAAAAGCAAAGTGCTGCAGATGCTGGGAGCAGAAAATGTTAGAAATATTTAGTTGGTTTGGCAGCCTCTGTGGAGAAAGAAACAGCATTTTCAAGTCTGTGATGTTTCTTGCAAGAGTGAATGAAGCATAAAAATGGGAGTCTTGCTACTATATAGGGCACTGGTGAGACTGACCTAGAGTACTATGTACAGTTTTGGTCTCCTTAATTAAGGATGAATATGCTTTCATTGGAAGTAGTTCAGGTAACGTTTGATTACTGGGTTGAAGGATTATTTTATGAGGAAAGTTTAAGCATGTTGGGATTAGTTATATATTTTGGAATTTAGAGGAATGAGAGACAATCTTATTGATTCTTGAGGGTAGATAAGTGCATGTTGCCCTCATGGGGGAATGTACAACTAGGGAGAAAAATGAAATAAAAAGGCTTCTCTCATTTCAGACAGAGGTGTGGAAAACAGTTTTTTTCTTAGAAGATCATTAGTCTGTGGAATTACCTTCCTCAAAGAACATTGGAGGCTAGGCCACTGAATATATTCAAAGCTGAGTTAGGCAGATTTTTGATCTACAAGGAAATCAAGTGTTATGAGGTGGAGTCAAGGGCACAATTTTGTTTTTATGACAATCAGCCATCATTCCAAATTTTCCCATTGAATTCACATTTCACTATCTGCCATTGTGAGATTCAAACCCATGTCCCCAGACTATTATGGTTGGGGTTCTGAATTATTCGTGCAGTGACATTTCCACTTTGCCACTGCATTCTCTGGATCAACTGTAATGTTATTGAACAACACAACAGGCTCAAGACCTATTCCTGCTCCTATTTCTTATAACCTTATGGTCAGGACTTAAACAAATGTTTGAAATATAAAAGGGTGGAGGCATTGGTGGGCTGGCTGGCAGAGGGATATACAGAAGAATAAAAGGAAAGGATAGAATAGAGGCCAGAAGGTATTAAATGACTAAAGGTTCTATGGTGCAAAGGCGAAGGGAATGGTACTGAGGTGTGAAAAAGTACTAAGAATATGTCACAACCCTGGATCAGAACCTTAAAGTATTTATAGATTTTTAAAAAATGATTCCCTAGGCCCGAAACGTCAGCCTCTCTGCTCCTATGATGCTGCTTGGCCTGCTGTGTTCATCCAGCCCTGCACCTTGTTGTTCCGAATTGTGTTGTTTTTGAAAGGTGGACCACTATAGAAAAAGAGACTGTTTGGCAAAGTCTCATGTGAAGCCCATGGAATGTCATGCATATAAATTGTCAGGAAAATTTCCAACAGGGAGTGACTTAATATGAAGAGATAACAAGGGAGGCTTATTATCTCTCCTCTCTCAACAGACAGACATCACTTGAAGACATGCCTGTCTTATCATACAGAAATATACAAAACAAGGGTTAAAAATTGACAGCAACACTGGTCAATGTGTGTTACGGCTGGACATTATAGTGCATGAACTAGATTACTGTGAGGGCTGCCACTTTGAGAATAACCATTTGAAACACCCCAGCATTGCAGGTAAAATATTGGGAAAAATTCTTTCTCATTTTGAAAGCTGGAATTCAGGCACGGTCAAAAGGAAACAGAGTTTCAACTAACCTGCAAAACTAGGAATCTTGAAACTGACTGTTTCAGTTTTATTTCTTCTATTGTTTAATAATTAACAAATTCACTCTCTGTTAACTCAAGCCCCTTAGTCAAGCTCAATCCTGGTGAAATTGGTCCCTTTTAAAATATTTTGTTTGGTTGTGGGAGAAAGGATCCACAAGGGAATTGCTCCATTTCTAAATTAACCTTGATGTGACTAAGCAAAGGATAGATAAATAAGGAAGGGGAACCATTGATTTCTCCTCAACAAGGAGTTTAATGATTCGGGTATCCCATATAATTATTAACAAGTTGAAGATCCTTGCCCAAGTTCAGGGCATGAGAAACATGCTTACAAAAGGCATGAATGATAGGAAGGCAACTATTTGAACAGGAAGTAAAGGAATTAAAAAGAATATCTTTATATTAATCTGACAATAAGTCTACCATTACTGGAAAATTACTTTATTTGATGTCTTGCTACACTTGGCATAGAGGTACTGTGGTTGATTATAGTGGCCCCAGGTCACGCACCACAGGATAGGAATCAGGCTGTAAAACTCCAGTGTTGTACAGCCTAGTGCCACACATCCACAGTACCTTTAGCAATTAAACCATCAGGGCAGCCTCCAAAGAGGATGTATTTTTCTTCCAGACTTCACCTTTGGAAATATCAACACTTTATTTTATCAGTTGCAGTTATCATGTTGTGGTCTGAATTGAAGTAGCTTGGGTACATCTTCCATGATCGGTTG